TTCGCCGTCTTCCTGCGGAACGGGCTCGGGAACAATGTCTTCCTGATCTGAAATGATTAAATAAGGAATGAACTACACCAGCCTAGTAAGGACATCACACTATCTCACCATCACGGAGGTAAAGGTGGGTAGAAAACACAAAAGAACCAATAGAGCATAGTTTACAACAAATTCTTTTATCAATAATAAAATCCTTTACTATCCACTTACCTCGGTGAAATTTATAAAAACAATATACGAAAGCAATAACATTATCATCATCATGAAATCATAGGAACTGTATAACATAATACTTATCACGCCTTTTGCATCTCAATCATTTCACAACATATTTTTCCTTATTTACCAACCTACTAGTATCCATGGGGATCCATAGGGGTCCCGTTACCCGTGAACCTTTAACACTTGTAATCAGATTCCAGGGCCGTCCCCATACCCCGTCCGGTATGGGCGCCAAAACTATAAACCTCAATACCCCGTCCGGTATGATGGTGAAACGGGACGTCCCCATACCCCGTCCGGTATGAGCGCCAAAACACATAAGGTCTCCATACCCCGTCCGGTATGAGAGACCACAATCCCGGTAGGGTTCCCTACGGACCCGGTCCGTCCACCATTTTCTAGGATATCTAGTCAGGCTGACCACATTATACAATTATCAATTTACATAACCTTTCATTCCCATTTTCCTCAGTCAGCATCATCAAATCACACACAAACAAGCAACCAGTAATTTATGTCAAACAAGCCAACATACAACATCGGGTTCTCAGTCATTCAACCCATAATCAATAAAACAGTGATTTATGCACACGAAACTATGAAATGAGAACATCATGCATCATACTGCATTTAAAACTGTAAAATAGAACAAACAACAACTGACCGACAAATACACCAGACTCGGGCTCCATTAGCGACCTTAAACAATTTCACACATCTACTGATTCATGAAACACCGTTTTATTATTTATTGAACTTTAATACCGTGATAGGAAATAGGGTGAGGGGTCCTTACATGTTTCGGGGTCCGTACACGGCTCCACAGTGCGCCTACAGGCTGTCCCTAATTTTTCCTGGGGAACTGAAACGCACTACTAGTACCTGCACGTGTCCCAAAAAATCCCGGCACGGCGGCTCCTTGCGGCGGCGATTCACCTCGGGTTGGTCGTTTTCGGCCGAATTCGGCCACACTTGCATTGGTCCCTGCGATAAAACAACCCTAGGGCCATCGGGGGGCCAAAAAATTACGAAAAACCGAAGCTTACCGGCGGCGGTGCTCTCGGGTGCGGCGGCTCTCCGGCAAGGTTCGTGTTTTGGTGATTCGGCTCTGATCAACCTGTAGAGAAAAGAATGTTGATCACGGTGATATAAAAATTGTATCAAACGGAGGCCGGGAAGGGCCTCATCGGAGGCAAAAACCGATGAGGGACGCAGCGGCGCCGCTGGGTTTCGGCCGTGTTTTCCGGCCGTTTGGCCGGGATTTTGGCTCCGATTTGGCCATAGGGGAACTCAGCGTGGAAAAAAGAGCGGGGGGTATGAAATTTACCTCGATCGGCGGTCGGAAAACTCCCTGGTGCGGCGGCGGGTGGCGGCGGCCGGCTCCTCCGGCGTCTGGTTCGTCTTCTCCGGCGAGGGCAGGCGGCTAGGGTTTTTGTGGTCAGGTGTGGGGGTTCTATTTATACCCTTTTGCGTTTTGATCACAGCCATCCGTTTTGATTAAATCTGGACCATTCGTGCGCGATTGAATCTGGGCCGTCCGTGCGCGTGCATCTAGGTCGTCCGTGCGATTGCATCTGGACCGTCCGTGCGCACGCTTGATCTGGGCCGTCCGTGCGCACGCTTGATCTGGGCCGTCCGTGCTCGCGGGGACACATCTGGGCCGTCCGATCGCGCGCACGCGGATCGCCCTCGTGGCCCGTTCCCCGGTCGACGTGGTCTTGCCACGCGGCAGGTCCTGGTTGGCCAGGGTTGCTGACTGGGCCGCTGACGTGCCTGCTGACGTGGCGCTGACGGGGCACAATTTTTTTAAATTGCGTTTTGACCACCAGGTTTCCGATTTTCTTTTCAAAAATAATCCCAGAATCCTAATTTTCACCCCTTTTTCCCAAAATCAATTTCAATTAAATCCAAATAATATTTTTACCCAATTTTACAATTATTATTATTTTTATTATTATATTAAATTAAATTAAAATAAACAAAATAAAATAAAATAAACAAAATAAAATTAATAATAATAATAATAATAATTTAAAATTATTTGGGCGTTACAAAATTAAATTGAATTAAAATCTTATAAATTAAATATATAAAAAATTAAACTAAAATTCAAATACGAAAATAAAAATAATAATTTGGGTGTTACACTAACCATCCGATCGCGGGCATGCAGATCGCCCATGTGGGCCTCCTGCGTGGCACCGCGTGAGCATCCCTTGCTACGTTGCACGCTCCGTTTCGTCGGAGCTGGTGACTGGACGTCCTACGTGGTATAAATTTTTTAAATTACGTTTTCACTTTCAGTTTTTAAATCTTCTTTCAAAAATACCTACATAACTTAAATTTTCTTATCTTTTTTTCAAAATTATTTTCAATTTCATCATTCATTTAATTTTTTTTTCATTTTTACATTAATTAATAATTTAAAAAATTAAAAATTAAATTTTATTATATTATACACTAATTTTAAATATTTTAAAATTAATTAAGGGTATTACCATTATTTTCTGAATTGCAAAGAAAATGCATTATGTATGTGTGTGTGTATTCATTTGTGTGGAGTTGGATATATATATATATATATGTATATATATATATATATTGTTGATGGTGCAAATACTTATATATAGGTAGATGGTCCACATGCAATCAATTAACCATTGGAGAATAAGAAGATGATGATGTAGAGGTGGGTAGCTCGGCCACCATGGCTGCTGGATTTTGTATTATCAATCAAATTGTTTGGTTTCTTTTGCAAGTCTATCATCTTGAATGTGACCCATCATTAGCATTATCCAAACTAGTGCTTAAGCTTTTTTGGGTCAATGGAATATCCTAATATACATACACATATATATATATACATATATATATATATATATTAAACCATCTCTTTCCTCTTCTTCTTCTGTTCTTCTTTCCCCACACATACACACATACACACACACAGAGATATATGTATATGGGTTAGCACTCAATAGAAACCAAATTAATTGAGAAGTTTTAATCAATTTTTGGGTTTTTCACATTTTTTAAGTCTCATGGGTTGAATTTTGATTTTAAAAATTTGGAATTAAACCAACCCAATAAATGATTTTCTTAATATTATAATAATTAATACTTGTTATTAAATACATTATAATGTATTATATATTATAGTCATTTTAATTAAAAAAATTATTTTTTGAATTTAAAACCAAATTGACTGAGTTTATTTTTGCTAATTTCGTCTTGGGTTTTTTTCTATGATTAATTAATTTATTTTTTTTTTAATTTTTGAAAGTTTTTCAAGTTAATCCACTCATTATGTATATATATATATATATATGTATATACAGGTTGTCAAGTAAAATTAATATAAGAGATCCAATAGCAAATTCATTATGAATGCATTGAAGATTACTATTTGGAAGAGGGTAGCTAGGAATATATATATATATATATGTATATGTATATATAGAGGGATTGAGTGTGGCATTGAACAAACTTTGCATGCACTGAAAGACCCTTTAAACACGCAACTATATTTACTTCTTTGTTTCCTTCTTTTTCCAACGTTCCAACTGACAACTTTCCTCTTCTTAGATCCTAATCCAATGGTCCGAAATTAAGATTATAACCAAAACATTTCAACTTGTCGTTAACGAAATCAAGTTTCCAATATAGGTTTATCATATATACATATATATATATGATACATATACTC